ATACGTCTTAATTATCTAGTGCTCTTGCCACGAAATGGCCAAGAAAATGGAGAAAGGATGAATCACTTTATAGTTTCTGAAACCCTATTAACTTACATAATGACAAATAATGCATTGATGGAAAAATATTTTGTATTTGTTCACCAACTGCACAATACTCGGCTGGGCATAGCATGTACGAAATTTTATTCGATAATTTACCGTATTTGAAAAAAAAAAGATTTTCAAAAATAATTATTCAAATTTTTATTATACTGAATTTGGTAAAGAGAAATATCCCAAATAGAGTGAGATTCTGTCGAAATAAATATGACTACAGAAAATACAAAAAAAGAAAAAAAAAGAAAAAAAAGATGGTTTATTTTACCAATGGAAATTCAATCTCGAACAATTAGTTTATTTTCACAAGAAAGATTACATTAGAAAAAAAAATAATATTATAAATAATAAGGAGAGCAATAAAATCTAAGAAAATCGTACTTTTACTAATACAGCTAGATGTGAGATGCAAGAATTATACACCATAAGAGCAAATCGTTTTTTAGAAATATAATATTTCTATATACTGGTCAAGTAACCGTTGTAACACAAGACTTTATTCAAAAAGAATTTTTGTAAGAAAAGTAATAATTTAAATTCTAATTGCTATAAATTCTTTTTTGTTATTAATATGTTTTCTTATATATATATATTAACTATTGCATTAAATTTGAAAACAATAAAAATCAATATCAAACAATAAAAATTAACTATTTGAAGCAAGATATAAAAAAAGGTGTCTTGTTAATCAAAACCCCCTTTTCCTTGTTAGTTTTTTTCTTATAATTTTTTATCAAATGTATTTTTTAAAATAAAATTTTTTTATAATATTAAAAGAAAGTTTTAACAAAAAACAATAATGAATTGATAAATTTAACACAAATATATTAAAAAAGTATATGAATAACAACCTTAAAAAAAATATAAAATATGTACAATAAAAAAAAAGATATTCATTCATAATTAAAAAATATGCATCTTAAGTTCATATATAATTATTCAAATTGCAATAGTTAATATTACCATAAAATATGCAAATATTATTTAAAAATAATTACATAATTTAATGACTCTTTAAAAATCTTTTAAATAAATTTATTAAGAAGAATCTAATTATAAAATAAAAAAATAATGAAACTAAAAAAATTAAAAGGCAAAATGTGCACAAACTAGAAGAATGAACATGCATGCCTGACTCACATTTAAAAACATGTATGTGCATTCCCCCCCCCCTTTAAAGCAATTTTTTTTTTTTAGAAATTAAGAGTTTTTTTCCCTTTAAAGCAATTTTTTTTTTTAGAAATTAAGAGTTTTTTCTCTTAAATTTTTTGAGAACTTTCTCTCTTCTTTTATAATCGATGGACTAAAATATAAAAAATAAAGTTTGAGACTTAAATAAAAAATAAAACACCAAAAGGATCAAATGTTAGAATAATATAAAATTGAGGGATTAAAGTGTCAATTTATACACGTTTTGAACAATACACATGGAAAAAAGTTGTTAATTTTGTTAATGTCAATATTAATCCTTGTTTTTTAATTTGTTTTTTACAATAACTAAAAATCTTGCATGCAAATTTGACATGTCATTTAACTCCTAAACAATTTCAGATCGCTTGAATGCATGATAACACACAGCCCGAAGAAAACAAAAAAGAAATATAGGTAAAAAATGACAAACCTTTTGAGGACTAAATTAAAAGAAAAAAGTTCAATAACAAAATCAAAAGGAATACAAAAAGTTGAGGGACTAAAGATGGAAATGTACATAATAAATAGTGTTATAAATAGTAAAATGCAAGTGGATGAATATGAATCATATAGTAGAATACCGATCTGTTTTAATTTCTTGATAATGCTAATGCTAATGCTAATGCTAATATTTTTTTATATAAACAAACAATACAATACAATTACACAATATATTTTATTATTAGATAAAACATATAAACTTTTAATAACTATTTAATAATCATGAAAATCATCATCATTCTTGCTATCCAGAAGAAGATTATGATTTAAAGTACCAAATAACAACCTTTGGCAATGCACCAATTGTGTTACTTTAGAATTTTTAATTTTTTAATTTAAAATAATTTTTTTATATTTTTAAATTATTTTAATATGCTGATGTTAAAAATAATTATTTTTATTTTAATATATTTACAAATAAAATTTATTTTAAATTATCATCGCTCCCATTATTTTAATTATAACTTATAAAAAACTAAATCTGATTAAAATAAACTAAACCTAATAGTCTAGCTCGATTCAAACATGACAAGCTACTTAATAGCTTTCTAATAAACCCAAAAAACCTCACACCATCAATGACAATAAAAAGTTCAACCGAGATGAAAGGATGACACCATGGATTTCTTCTTCTTCTTTTGTATAAAATATTAAGTAAGACTCATATAAAGTGCAAATATATTTTAAAATTAAAAATAAATATTATGGTCTTCCACATGTCATAACAAAAAATTTGAATTAAAAAAAAGGCAATAAAATTGTTGAAAGATAAAAAATATTTCAAAATTATTTACCAATAAAAATTACAACAAAAATAACAATAAAAAAAACTCAGTAATTCTATCAGTGTTTTTTACGTGTCAAATAGCCAATTTAAAACAAAAATTAAAACCTATATACCCTCCTCCTCCCCTTTTCTTTCAATTCAAAACTAAACTTCAATTTCTTTATACTTTTGATAGACTGCCCTCTAAAATCCAACAATCCAATACAGTAGCCTCAACGCGACCTCCTTCTCCTTATTCCATTTCTTATCACGCTTTACTTATTCAAGTAAAACAACCTATTCATTTTTTTTTAACACTTATTTATATTTAAAGTTAATTTATTCAAAATTTATTGAATTTATAGTTTACATATATATTTAAATATCTTACTTATTTTATAAGATAATTTTATTGTATTAATATATGATTTGTATTTTAGGATTTGTTTGGAATTTGAGGAAAATAAATTTAATTTGTGACTTGATAAAATTGGGTATGATTTTGTAATTTAGATATGTTAGAATTTAAAAAATGATAAGTAATTTAATGGATACCAATTAGTTTTTGTCAATTTATGATTAAGTTGAAAAATTAAGTTCTTTGGATTTCCCAAGCTATATGAGGATTTTGTGCATACTAGTTTAAAATAATTCAGAGGATAAATATTATTTTTTGTTTAATTGTTAGACAAATTAGTGTAAAGATGCGTTTAGATTATTTCTAATGGATTTTATGGTTGATAAACATAATAAGTGATTTATTTTTTCTAAAGGTATCATGCCTCTTAATAAACCTAGTAGGTAATTCAAAACTCAACACTCTTATCATGGCTAACTTAATAAGATGAGTCAATTCCACAAGAAAGAGTCTATCCTAGATAATTAAGGTATCAACGAAAATGAGTCTATCCTAGATAATTAAGGTATCAATCACTTTATATCTTCTTTTTTGTTACTCTTTTTTTTTTGAAACCAACAACTTGATATATTACTTCTATGATTTTTTTTTTGGAATTTAATAAGTTTTTTAATACTAGGAGCTCATGAACAAGACACAACTAATCTTAAAAGTCAGCTTGGTGCGTGGGTATGCTCATTTGTTTTTTTTTTGTCAAAACTTTTCCTTGTCTTTTGCGTAGCTATATCTATAGCATTGTTCATGTATGTTTGTCTCTCTCTATTTAGCATTGTTCACTCATGTATTTGTACTTGAAATCTTCAACATGTATGTTCGATGAAGATTATGAATTTGTAAATAAATTCTACTAAGAGGTGTTATTTGAATTTTAGTTGAGAATGAATAAAATTAATGCGCAACCAACCTTGTGACATGCTATTATTAATTTTTTATATTTTAGTTCAGTTTGTGGATGTAAACATAATTGGTTCTATATTATTATTTAGGATTACGGGTAGTGTGATTATCAAGATTGGGAATCATAAAATATAAAAATTTTAAAAAAAATTACAATCATGAAAAATTTTATTAGTAATTTTATTGACTTATTGACATTAAAAAATACTGATGTAATAAAAAGTCTTGATAAACTACTTTTTAATAATAATTTTTTTTATCAATAATTAGTAATTATATCAGTAATAAAATTATCAATAAAATTTTATCTAAATAAGAATAAAATATTCCATCAATATTTTCTAATTTTTTAATATCATTCAAGAAAACTAATGCATTATATATCTAATGTACAAACCTATGATGCTCGAACTCGGGATCAAATATAGGTATGCAAGTCTGATTTGGCTATTTTGTCAATTTTTTATTTTTTTTATTTTTTCATGTAATCGTAGCGTTCAATATCCATGCCCATGTCAAAGCATCCAATGTCAGGCATGGGTATTCCAAAGAAAAAAGAGAGTAGAAGCACCAAAGTAAACATATAACCGAGCAATTTGTAGATGAATTTGCGAAAAAGGGGATGCAGTAAAGCAACACCAAATGATATGAGCAAAGAACCAAAGATAACAAAACAAGAAATTAAGTATAAAGAGGTTTTTATTTCATTATGTTTTCATTCCAATATTTGTAACTGTGAACTTTAATATTGTCTAAATGGAGTAACATCAGTCAATGTTCAATTCTCCATGGCTGTGTTCCATACGTCTATCTATAACCTGATAAGCGACAAGAGTCTCCAAATGCTGCTTCCAGCATCCATTAACACAAGGCTCATGGAATTGGAGATGAGATTCTTGAAAATTGGATGCCATGCTGCAGAATCTTGGAACAGGGGAGTGTGTTCTACCCTGTTTGAGGTCCAGGCCATAAAACAAAACTGAAGCATGAAACACCGAGGCATCTCATGAACTTGCTTATTATAGTTATTGATAGCAGTTCTATAATTTAAGGAAGATAATGTCGGCAAATGGCTAAGAACAATGGTCCATGGGCGAGGACGATTGTCCAGAGCCAAAACTAGTGATCTCAAACATCCATGGCTGCTTTTTTGCAGATGGGGCAAGTGTTCTTCTCTACGAGCCACCTCTTAATGCAGTTGAAGTGAAAGTCATGCCCACATTTCAGCTTCCCAAGGTCATCTTCATCAGCATATGCCTCCTGCAAAATGATGTGCAAAGACATAGTGCATGCAGGATTTTACCAACCAAAAATACCTAAGAAACAATGCACCGATAAATAACAATAAGCAAATATCAAGACTACAGAAATGTGTTCATTAGTAAAAATGAAAACTATTTCTTCTTTCCTGAAAACTGAATTTTTTTAATTTAAAAAATTTTCTTCTGAAAAACTACAAACACAGTTGTACTTTTCCCTTTAAGATACCAATTCTCCTTAAGCATCTCTTGAGAATCACCAAGGTGCACTAAATTACAGTGGAAAGTTGAAATTATTGATACTTGTAAACTATTCATGATCACACTAGCTTATGTATTTGTCTTTTAGATTATTCCTGTGGTAGAAGGTAGAAGAATTGAGCAAATCTTACCTGACAGATGCAGCATGGTTCATCTTCACTGTCAGACCCATCTACAACTGCTTGATACTTCCAATGCTTTAGAGTTGCCACAATAGCATCTTCACTTAATCCAGTCGAAACATTTCCCATTTGCTCCTCGAGAGCCAACAGTTGCTAAAGCACGGAATCATTATTAAAAAAAAGAAAAAACAGTGGTCAATAAAGAATGAATGCAAAGCTATCATCTACAAGCAAGAGAAAACTTCAAAAAGTAGTTCATGAATGCCTTAATTTCTTACCTCATAAGACATGTTGTCCACATCAAGACGCATATCTTCAAGTTCATCAGCCTCCTCATCATCAGAATCACCAAACAAAGCTGAACGGTCAATTAGCATCACATTCTGACATACCATCAATGGATTAAAATCATGAGCAGATTCTCCATCAAGTCAAAAAGAAAAGGATAAGCTGAACAAAGTTATTCTTTCCATTTGAATCAAAACTTCATAAAGACTTCAGCTTAGCAAAGTGATATATATGATCTAAATACAGCATTAAGTTCAGCTAGAATCCGTACCCCAAACTGTAACGAACCCCTCCTACGCACAAGCGTCAGAGCATTGCGGACCTGTCAAGCCAATAACAAGTGAACTTATGAGCATCTGACTAAGATAATGGTCGACTAATATTGATTTATGATGAAATAAAACCGATGGAGAAAATTACATTTATATAGGTTATAAGGAATTAGCAAAAAATTTTGCTGACTTGTTTAAGAAAAAAATGAGTTTCAAGCTTTCTATTATGGTGTAGATAATCTAACCTGTATAACAGATTATGGAATATTATAAATGGATTTTGTTTTAATTCCCTTAAGCCATCAATGCTCAAGCTAGACTGCTGACACCAGTCATTTTCATCCCAACTGACGTAACTGATAATGCAAGTACATATAATTTGAAAAATTACTGTCAGGACTGCACGAAAGTTTCAATGCTCAGAAGCACCTCGATTCTTCATCAAGGATTCATATAGAAAAACATGCATATTTGAGCAAACTTTTAATAGAGAATGGAATTAATCAGGAGGTCATAACTATATACTGATAAATTAAAAGGGTGAATTTACCAAGAATTCATATGGGCCAGGATGAATACCAGCAGCCAAAAGCTTTACCCTATCTTCTTGTTTTATATTTCTTAATAAGGCTAAAACAAATGGTACATAATGGTGGCAGAGATGATTTGCCTACCCTTTAATTTCTGGTTAAATTAGTAAAGTTTAAGAAGGAAATGATCTATTAAGAATACCTCAGTTGCTAGTCTGTTTCTCCTCTGAACAGCAGTCAAAGCCCGGAGTGCCATTTCACGAGTGACAGTTTGTCTCTCGTACCTCATTTCCAAGCCTGGTATAAGAGGCATCTGAGAAGGCCTTACATTGCCGCTTCCCACTTGTAATCCCCTCTCTGTTGTATGAGAAGAGGCAACCAGATTAAACGGAAGATAACAAATTTGCCCCTGAGGCTCAGTACGATTGACAAGGTTTGGCATTCTCCCATGATACTGCTCTTCCATGTTACCTTGGACATACCATATAGGAATACGTGGTTGATGTGAAGTAGAGCCATTTTGGGAAATGGGAGACATACTTCCTGGAAAATATCTCCCATTGGCAAAGTGAAGGTTTGTTGGCATGTGCGGCATATGTGTCCTTTGAAATTCAGAAAAGAACACGCCATTCCTCGGATCATTCCTTAAGCTCCGATCCTGATGCAAGGTATTTCCTCCATTCATAGCATGAGTAGATGGCCCACTGGTTCTTTCCGTGGTGACCCCATTCCACTGGAAAGGCTGTAGAGGCTGTGAAGGATTGGGAGTGGTGACCCCATTCCACTGGAAAGGCTGTGAAGGATTGGGAGTATGCATAAAAGGCTGCGTTGGAGAAGCTATATGAACCATTCCCGTTGTTGCAGCTGTGTTTGAACTTGGAAGGTGATTGAATTGATAAAACACAGGTTGTTGAAGAGATGATTGCACACGAGGATTCCTTACGGTCCAAAAAGACGAGTTAGGGTCTGGTGCAGAATCTAATCGACTTGCAGATCTTCTCAAACGGGTATATCTCTGGGTGTTCTCAGCTTGTCCAACCACACTTGGATTTTGATGCATTTCAGAACTTGTCCCCGCTCCAGTTGCAAATTCACTTGCTGCAGCACCCGAAGGTTGATACAGGGATGGAGCTATTCTCACACCAACCGAAAGTCTAGCAGAATTTGGGTTACTATTCAAGGAGGATGGTAAAATGAAGCTTTTAGGAGCATTTTCTTCAGGAATATCACCTAGCTTAACTGATCTCGAGCTTTCACCCAAAGAAAATTGTCTAGAAGCATCTTCAGGAGCTCTTCTTTTACAGGACAGACGCCTCCCACCTGATGCAGAATCTTGTGCACCCTCGTTTTCTTCCAACACATACCCAGCAATTCCAGAAGAGATCATAATTGCATTGGAAGTAGATGAATCACTAACGAGCATATTTTTGTTAGGGTCCGATCCTCCTCCTAGTTCTTGAGTGTCGCCCATGCGATTGCCTTCATATGCAGCATTCAAGTCTATGTTGCGAGGGAGAACACTAGGACTAGCCTCCATCGTAGCTGATGGTCCATTACTGTTAGTGAGCTGACTATTATTGTCTGAAGGAGCAATGTTCAACTCAGAATGTGTTCCTTCCGAAGAAGAATCTTCCGAATCTACATTCTGATTGCAGAGTAAATTGATGCCATTGGGGCCATAACCCAAATAAAACTTTCCTGGGAAGGCATTGGACTTGCTACCTTGACCTGCCATGTATAAATTCTGCTCTTAAGTTGCTATGCAACCAAAGCAAGACTCCCCTCCAAACCTGAGAATACACAAAACCATGCATATATCATTGATAGGTAATACACAGAAACAAGAACATAACTGATTTACAAATGTTTACTCAAAGATAAATATAAAACTTTCCATTACCTGTTCTACAAGCTTTCAGGATTTTCCACATGCATTTATTTCAAACTTCATCTCTCTTTTTTCTATATGAGATAGAAACACAAACAAATTGATATTTATGAGATAGAAACGTTAAAGTCTTAAAGATTAAAACAATTTCATGGGAAAAAACAGTACAGATTCAGATAAAAGGAACAAGGAAAAGGATATCAGCATCCCTTATTCACTCTTATCATGACTCAAAGCAGATTAACACACACGTGAAAGGCTTTTCTGTATGGAAATTATAGATCACCAAGAAGCATAGTAAAACAAATAAAAAATCTGTTAAAAAAAAAACTTGGGATGGAAAAATATTTCTAGAATCTTGTCTTCCATCACTCTTATGTCACAGCCATATTTTCTTTAACACCAAACCCTAGCGTTTATTGCACAAAGAATTGTTTTAAAAAAGAAATCCTATCAAACAAGGAATTCTACTCTAAATTGGAAAACCTAAACATTTTTCCCGATATATAATATTCAACAAATTGCCCTTTTTATACGCAGCAGAAAGATCTCAAACTAAAATACAGAATTAGAAGCAGAGTAAAAACTTCTTTAAACTCCCATGCAAATAGTATTTAAATTTCATTAAGAATAAAAAGTTATCAATTCTAATATTTAAAAATGAATGAGTATTTCCAAACTTCATGTATATTTGTTCTCTTCTCCATATTAACTAACTCTGTGATTTTAATAGTTTCTGGTGGGAATTTCCATACTTAAATTTTCTGCAAATCCAAGTTTGAATCATTAGATCTTCGTTTATTACTTCAATCAAACCAATTTATAATGTAAAACCACAGTGCATATATATATATATATAGATTTATGTATGTATGTATGTATAGCAGCATAAACAAGCAGGATCTTACAATAGATCTTCTATTTTTCATTCTAAATCTTTGAAAACTAATACATAGATTTTTTAATATACCGAAAAATGAATATTCTTATAAATTCTTCTGGAACTGTAGGGAATCATTTCTTTTATTACGAAAAATGTGCTATTTTTGGATATTTTTTATTTAAAAATATATTAAAATAATATTTTAAAAAATTTTATTTTTTATAATAGCATATATATATATATATAATAAAAACAAATTAAATTTATAAAAAATATGATTTCAATCACATTATCAAACAAAAACTAAAAAGAAAACCAAAAAAACAATATTTATGTAAAAGGATGGTATAAAAAAAACAAACAAAAAGGTGTGTCAATGTATAATTAAAGATCTAATAAATAAATGTTAATGCATACCCTAAACTATAAGAAACCGCTGTGTAAATTGGTTTAACATCACTTATTAGTGAAATAATTTTGGTTTAAAACTTATTATTTAGTTTGATTCTTGTTTTTGTTTAACAGTTTTGAAGCGAAATAAATAGTAAAAAAAAATCACTTAATAATGCTATAAAAGATTAAAAAAAAAAGGTTTAAATGTATTTCAAAATAAAATCAAATTATACCATCAATCAAAATAATTAGTATGATTAAAATAAAAAAATTTTAGAACATATATATGACTCTTCCCTAAAATAACAGCATAATACATAGGATTTATTTATATATAAAAAAAAAACTAAAAACCATTACCACACAAGTAAATCAAAGAAACAAAAAATTAAGTGAACATGACAAATGAATTCAAAATCAAACATCTAAAAGAAGTAAATCAAACTGCAAATTAAATCTCACATATATATGCATAAAAACAAATACTAACAACGTAAAAAACCAATCACTTGAGAGCACTATAATTTTAACCAATCCAACAATCCACAAAAATCTCATTTAGACAAACAAAACTAATAATAGGAAGCAATATACATACCTGGAAAAAAAAACAAAACAACAATTAGTCTCTCAAGAATTCGATGAGACAAGAAAACCTAGGTATAAAAGAAACACTTAGTAACTCTTATTTAATCTCTCACTCTAGTTTGTAAGGATAGAATTCTAGCAAGAGCGAAGATCTCTAATGATGGATAAGGATCATAATTACAAAAACAAGTATAATAGTAAGGTGTCATGATTGGTTGCTAGTAAATGAGAGATTCTGCTCCAAGACTGATGGACTCGTGTCACGCATTAGTCTGTCCTCTCTCTCTATATCTGAGATTTTATGGAAACAAAACTCTCCTCTAATATTCCTAACAAAGGGTGCCGTTATTTTTCTCTTCTCTTTTGTGGGGTTGTGTTGTTTTTTTGACGTGAGTTTTTGTTTTTCCCTCCTATGCTCATGTTTCTTGCCCTCCTTTCAAACTTGCCTTATGAGGAACCAACTCATTTAATTTTTAGTTATTACTTACCATCCTCTTTTTTTTTTTTTATCTCTTTTCCTTTTTACCTTTTGTGTTCTCTTAGTTTCATTTTTTTTTTTAATTGCATTTTTAAACACTATGGATAAGTTTAATTTTGTTGAAAACAAATGCCGGCTACAATAATCACTTTAATTTTAAGCTAATAATATAGTTTTTATTATCTATTTTATTTGCATACTTTTTATTTAGGATATTTTACACCTTTTATTAATATATTTTACACCTTTTATTGATATATTTAAAGTTATTGTCGAATTCAAATTATTTTAATCTTTCAATGTGATAAATGTTCTTTTTCTATACTAGCTAATAACTTTTATTACTTCAACTTGTTGATCTTGTATCGCTTTCTATAAATTATGTTAATCTTAGTAGTTATAGTAATTAATTTTGTGATATCATTGATTTAATATCTTGGTAGTTTTGCTTTTTGTGAAATGGTAAAACTAACATTACTCTCGCATCATAATATTTTTCTTATAATGTGAGATGTACTGGAAATTATAGCTTAGAAAGTAAGGATTTTAGCATAATATACTCTTATTTTAACAGTTAAAATGTGAAATAATTGGTGTTTGATTGTTAAATTTGCTGCCAAAACAAAATTAAGCAATTGTCAGGTTAAGTAACATGCCAGTTATTTTCATGTGAAAACATGGTGATGGTGCATAGAGTCTTGATCACATATTTACCCCAAACTAAATGAAGGTCTAAAATCACAATAACATACCTTATACTATCATGCATTTTAGGTAACTCTCAATTTGACCATAAATTAATTAATTGTTTCATGTGTATGAAAGATCCAAATATTAACTATATATTGCACTCATGTGACCTCAAATGAAATCTAAAGTAAATCTTAAAAATTCAAAGTAAATCTTAAACATTCAAATACATTGAAACATAAATTTAAACCAAGGCCTACAATATACTTGCTTGAAGCAAGGGAGAATAAAAGAGATATGTTTTCTTGACAACTAAAGGCATAAATTAACATGTGGAGTTATATCAATTTTGTTAACATTTAAGTTTTTTCTATCAAATACATTGGTGAAAAGGATTATCATTTAATTCAATTCATTTTTCTCTTATATTAAAACTTCTTAAAAGCACGTGGAGTTCTTTCATTTTTATGCAATTGTTTTGGGTTTGATATGTTCATCAAATCCATGTTACTTTGGGTTTAGCTGATTATCAAGTTCAAATTCTTTGGGTTTAGCATATTTTCTAAATCTATTTTATTTATAATGATTTTTATTTATAAAAATTTTAACAAAAAATTTAAATCATCAGTTTCCCCCAAACCTTTAATATATAATCTTGCATTAGAGGTTTAAGAGATTTTGAGAGAGACAATAGATCAGTAGACATCTCATTGTCCTATAAGAAAAAACGATAAGACATTGTAGATCTAAAAAGGTTTCTAGATAAAAGGAAAAGGTTTTAGGGAAGACCATTTGACGGTGCACAATAAATATTGCAACCTTTTGGTATTCCTAGGATTATAGATGAGGTGTTTTTTGTCTTGTATTCATATCTTTCCCTCTTCTCATAATTTTCTTAAACCTTTTTTCCAGTATTTTTTGACTTAGAAATTTCTAATATGTTACAAGAAAAAGGCAATTTGACAATAAAGAGGATTTCATTAGCTAGGTAAACTAGATCTTTTTTCCTTATGCTTTTATAAAATCTTCTTTAATCTTTTCTTCATTCTACCATTATAACCTCTAGAAAAGAGAAAGAAAACATATCTCTTGAAGGTGATTTTAGTTTCAGGCTTGAAACTAAAACCACTTATCACTCATCTTTAACCATAAAAATTAGCCATAAATCTGAGAGGGATGATGTCTGACCTTATTCTGCTAAAAGAATGGATGAGGATTTTCCCTATAAGGTTTCTAACTTGAGAGGACAACTAAGACTACCTAAGACTCTTGTGGAAAACACACAGAGGTTCAATGACTTAGGATCAAGTATTCCTAGCTAATGCTAGTCATCTAAGAGATTATATGGTGGTTATTTCTAAAGCTGGTGACTGTATCTTTTAGGTCACCATTAAATATGATGGGGGTAATATTATCAATATAGACCTTATATGTTTATATGAGTTTGGATACTTATTTTCTTTACAAGAATTTGTAAGGGATGTTCTAAGATACTACAACCTTAGTCCTGCTTAAATTCATTCCAATGGATGGATCATTTTATCTTCATTTAAAAAATTATTGAGGATTTTAAATGAGGAGCCTACAATCAAGGTATTTGGGCATTGTTATACCTTGATCAGTAGCACTTAAAGGGGGCCTTCAATCCCTTGGTTTTTTACTTTCTTCAATAGGTAAAATGGACTAATAAAAAATATCATGAGGGGAAAGTCTTTTCGATTAAAAAAATGGAGGGAGTAGTGAGTAATAATAAGATATAGTGGCTTAGCCAAACCTCAAAATGAATATAACCTAATCTAAGGTTGTACCCATTAT